TTCTAATGGTTTGTTTTATTTATAAAGCGGGGCGAAAATCTTTTTCAGTAATAATTGGGACCATCTTACGATTTGCCATCTCAATAATGGCAACCCCCTCCCTCCACCATTTCAGCTTTTATGTTTGCCAACTCGCTTTTTTTGTACGTAATTATTGGCTTTTGTAGGAATCATGCATAGGAAAACAGAAAAGAATGAACTGCACACTAAACTGACTAAATACAAGCTAAAATGGCTTGAAGCTTAATTCGTAACTTATTATTATTATTATTATTATTATTATTATTATTATTATTTATTATTATTATTATTATTATTATTATTATACAAATAGTTAGACATATCTTCATATTGGCACTTCTGAAATATGATGTTTTTATGTGTATGTTTCGCCCCGATACCGATACTCATATCCGCCTTTTTTGAAACTTTCAACGAGACAGGGGAGGGAGGTGGGGGTGAGATTTGTGGGGAGCACCGGATAGAAATACATGGTGGGTTGAAACTTTTTCATATAAAATTATGTACGTTGATTATTCAGTTGATTGGTAGCTAACTTGATATATAGATTGTGTAGAAGTGCCAATGGCAGAATTCACCTGGGAATTGAAAGCCCCGATGCACTACCGTTTCTTTGCCTGGATGGCTTTCCATAACGGGGTTTGGACCTCCGGTAAGCTCGCACGAAGAAGGCCTACCCACTTTGTGACCAGGAAGAGGAAAGCATCAACCAGATCGTCATGTATTGTATTTTTGCAAGGGAGGTGTGGACCCGCTTGTGCCATGCAATGAGCAAACCCGACTGGACTCCGACAAGAGGCACAGAGTTAGTGGATTGGTGCACAAGCAACGATGGTTCCACGCTGGGTAAGAAGGATGTGTGGGCTATCTTCCTATTAGTGATGCGGGAGCTATGGAATTATCGAAATGCAATAGTATTTGATGGAGCTACACCTTCAGTTGCATATGTAATAGGATGGAAGTAGAGGGCAGAACATGGAAGAAAGCGGGCATCCTGAAGGACGAGGTTGAACCCCTTCTTGGAGCTTTGGCAACATGGGCAGACGCAAGGAATTAGGGTTTACATACACAACGTTGGTAGATGCGAGGAATTAGGGTTTGCATGCCGCGTGGAGTTGTGGTTATGTAACTTGTAATCACCCCCATTCTCTTCTTTAATACATAGTACGCACACTCGTGCAAGACAAAAAAAGATCACGTAGAAAAAACTTTGTTCAACTCTCGACTTCGGTGCAAAGCAACGGACACAAGCAGACAACACCACGGGGGGGGGGGACCCCCTAAGGCTGGTCATAGTGGGAGTAACATAGGTAGTAACATAGATGCCACATAAGCAAAAATGATGATGTGACAAGTAGTTAATGAGGAGAGAGGCAAATAGAGTAACATAATATGTTACCACCACATAGCGGTTTCCAATGCATAATGAGTCTACAAAGTAATAAATGAAGGCAACTATGTTACCACACCTATGACACTACCCACTATGAAGGTAGTAACATAGACTAGTAACATATGTATGTTACTAGTCTAAGTTAGACCCCACTATGACCAGCCTAACGATCGCGTCGCCCCGTTATATCGATCAGTTACCAGCTAATTTTCTGCGTACGCACAGAGTCCATGGCATGTCTCGCCCTCCCTGTACGGCTGTCCTTCAGCGAGGGCCCATGTATCTATACCTACTAATAAAGCAGATATTGCTTCTGCCCATACGTCACAAAAATCGCCCCCCGAAGTTGCTAGAAATTACCCGCTATGCCACCCGTAAGTGAAGAAAACGATTCGATTTTTCTGCCGTCGTTTGCAGAGTTTGTATAGAGTTAATATCCAACAACTAGCAGTGATGCAGTAGCAGCGCGGTGGCTCGATGCATTGTCTTTTGCCCTGTAGACCAGGGTTCGAAACCCAGCTTCTACCAATATTTTCCTCCACCTTTTTCTCATGACTTATTCCCACCTACTTTAGGCCTACATGGGCCAGCCAGCGGACTTAATGCCCTGTTTTTTTTCTTTTTTCTGGTCTTCTCTTTTCTCACTTCTGTTTTTGTTTTCTCCTTCTTTAAATCAATTTGAGATTTTCAAGTATTAAAAAGTTGTGAGTTTGAAAAAGCTGTTTGAGAAATTATAAAATGTGTGTGAATTCAAAAAAGTTCAGGAAATCATAAAATTTTCGTGGTTTCAAAAAATGTTACTGATTTTACAAAAATATTTGCAAATTATAAAAATAATTTGGAAAGAAATGTCGTTAAATAAAATCAAGTTCATGATCTTGATAAAATGATCGTGTATTCAAAACATATTTGTGAATCTGAGTCATCATGAAATCAAAAACTATTCATGCATTTCAATAAATGTTCGTCTAAAAAACAAATGTTTGTGAATTTAAAAAAATGTCTAAATTTAAGAAGAATGTTTGTCGATTCAAAAAACTCTTCCTATTCAGATGTATTTTATATCTAGGATTTGATTAATTTTGGAAATTCTTTATATGTCTTGGGGTTGGCGAGTAGTCCATGGTCGATGAGATTTGTTTTCAAAGTTCAAAACATTCCCTTGCGCGAGACAATGACAAGTGTGTCGTACAGTGACAAGCCCATTTTTTACCACGTTGAATGCATTGCGATCACGTGGATATTGCATCCATCATCAACGAGAGTGAGAAGAAAGATAATTGGCAACATGGTGAGCCATCGTGTTAAAATAGAGGACATTCATATGTCGGATATTGACCAACGTGTAATTTTTTCTTCCGTTGCAACGCACGGGTATATTTGCTAGTACTGATAAAAGGCCCAAATCTTATAGGTAAGGAGAAAGGGCCAGGCAAGAAACCCTACGCACGTACACATAGTTTCATCCCTAAATAAAACGTACGCATGATTCAGATCTCCTCTAATAGCTTCGTTTCCACCCTCCCCACTACTCCTGCCGCCTGAGATCGAGCGTACCGCCGGCCGCCTGAGATCCTGAGTCGAATCTCTTCGTTGAGGGGAGGGCACAGGCAGCCGTAGTGTCGCCGATCCATGATCACCAGCGCGCTGCCGGCCGGCTGGCCACAGGGAGCGACCAAACCAAAAGAAAAAGGGGTTAGTTTACTTTCAGCATTAGATTAGTTTATCTATGCCTTCAAATTGTATAAGTGGAATTGTAGAACAGGAAACATTTACAACTAACTAGTAAATTCTAATTAGTCTAATTGTCAAAGGAATCTACTAGGGCGCGTGCTATGGTGTGCAGGCGTATTTAACAATGGCGTGCTGGCAATATGTGTTCGTAATCACGCATTCACGTCGCGCTAGCAAAACCAGATTATGCAAATTCTATCCTGCTAGATGGATATTGCCTGAACGTTCGTTCAATAGACGCCTGATTGTATCTGTGTAGACACAAAGAGAAAGGGCTGAATCAATTCATATTTTTTAAGCCAATTGTTTCCAGCTCGCTGCCATGTGAACATGATGCTAATGCAAACGAAATGCAACTAAACACCATCTCAAAGTAATAGATTTGAATTTTTTTGCAGGGTAATAGATATGAATTTATTATTATTATAGAACAACAGACATATATTTACTATCTAGATCTTTCATTATTTACTAGGTATATGATCATGATCATGTATCCTACTATGATTTTAGTGCTTCGAGTTCTTGCCCCCCCTATCTTCATTTTCTGGCTCCGTCCCTGACCACAACTAATTGATCGGCAATCAAGATAGCATGCAAATTTCATATAAGCAAGTAGCGAACGACCATCTCCATGAGGTAAATCATCTTATATAACATTTCAGGATGCATGGCTCTGTCAACTGCCTCGAACTGCAAGTACTCCGTAAGAAAATACTTAAAAAGTAAGCGCACAAAAACACTATTATTCCCTAGTAGCTAACACTACAAGGTAGCTACATCACATGTAACATGCATGGCGCCGGTAATTGCATCACGCCCGAGAAGCTGCAGCTGGCAGCCGTGGTGGCGGCGGTAAGTCGGACGTCACCGGGTTTGGTCCGGTAGGAACCTTCCTGAGCACCGAGAAGTCCCTCGGAGGTGGTGGCGGTGAGTCGGACGTCGCCGGGTTTGGTCCGGTAGGAACCTTCCTGAGCACCGAGAAATCCCTCGGAGGTGGTGGCGGTGAGTCGGACGTCTCTGGGTTTGGTCCGGTAGGAACCTTCCTGAGCACCGAGAAGTCCCTCGGAGGTGGTGGCGGTGAGTCGGACGTCTCTGGGTTTGGTCCGGTAGGAACCTTCCTGAGCACCGAGAGGTCCCTCGGAGGTGGCGGCGGTGAGTCGGACGTGATGGGGTCCGGCCCACGGGGGACCTTCCGGAGAATCGAGAAGTGAGCGCTTGTCGCCGGTGGCGGTGGAGCATAAGATACTATGGGATCTGGTCTGAAAGGCACCTTCCGAAGCACCGAGAAGTGTGCGCTGGTGGCTGGCGGCGGCGGTGGGTCCGATGTTATAGGGTCCGGCCCACGAGGCACCTTCCTCAGCACGGAGAAGTGCACGCTCGTGGCCGGCGGTGGGGGCGTGTCAGATGTTATGGGGTCTGGCCCACGAGGCACCTTCCTCAGCACCGGAAAATGTGTGCTCTTGGCTGGCGGCGGCGGCGGTGGGTCGGACGTTATGGGGTCTGGTCCACGAGGCACCTTCCTCAGCACCGAGTAATCCGCGGTGGGAGTCAAGTGCCGTGCCGACGCCGTGAAAGACAGCATCAGCGGCAGGAGAAGGAGGAGTACCGCCGGTGCAATGCTCTTGTGGACGGCGGCCATTTTGCTGCTAGCTTGGCTAGTTTGCTACTGCGCAACTTGCTTACTCCCTCCGTCCGGCGTCCGGGGTTTATATAGGGCCGGAGGGCCACCCTGCCGCGTCCGTATTTAGAAGGCAGAACGTTATTAAGGATTTAATATAGGGGTTAATTGCCTACTTAATTAGTCATATCGAGAGTTATTTGGGTACTTAATATAGGGGTGGCCTAATTAGTCATATCGACAGTTATTCATAAGATTTTCTATGACATTATTTGGTACTTAATATACGGCTCAATTGCCTAATTAATTAATACTATTCTCCAAAATATAGTAATACGTATTCAGCAAGTCCTAAATTGGAGTAAAATTTTAGGACTACATTGGATCGATCCAAAGTTCTGTCTCAAAATAGGAAAATAATTATTTTATTTGCCCCCCATTATGGTGCTAAGTTTAGTTGGGACTCCCAAGTTTCAAGACTTTTTTTTTACCAAAAGCACTAGGGAGAGGAGTGCGAGCTTTTGGAGACCAAGCTCCAGGGAGCTCATTTTCAAAAACCAATTTTCTACAGCGTGAAAGGAACTCGAAATATTTTGTGAACATTCATGCACGTGTATTATGTGTGTGCAAAAATTCATAACAGTACACTTTCACGCGTGGCGTACAAAATAATGCCAAGCACGTATTTCTAAAATGCATCGACTTTTTTCTTGGGCCGGAATTTTGTCTTTTTTACAGCCCACAAATCACAATGTTTTCAAACGGTTTTTCACACGTTCGTGCGGAACATGTACAAGTTTCCATGGATTTTTTTGAATTTTTATGCAAATTTGAAATATGCCTTTTGAACTTTTAAAAATACTGAGCTCCCATGAGATCGGTCACAGTTGGCATTTTCCAGCCCCTACCGTGTCATTTTCATATTAAGAAAGGATATTTACAAAGAAGATTACATGGAGGGGGGGAGGAGAGCTAATATCTAAAGTTTGGGTTCGGCTCCACTACAGTTAAGTTATTACTGCATCGGGAGCTGAATGCCTAAAGTTCACACATTATCTAACCAGGACATCGTGCCCCTTTTGAGACTAGGTTTACCTCTAAGCATAGAAAAGAAATTGTCTCTGAAGATAGACAAGCAGGATTGTATGGTGCACTGGTTGTGCTAAAAAATAACTCCATTCCTTTCTGTCCATATGCTCCAGCAGACCAGCAGCCAATAATCATAATTTCCATGAAGTCAAGCTGGTATCTCCTCTGAGTATCAGTGATATCTCATGAATATTGCAGTCAATGTTCCATTCAAAACCTAGACTCCACCAAAAACCTTGGCTCAACGAACAGCCAAAGAAAAGATGGTATCTATCCTCATTAGAACAATCATAGCATAGCACACAGTTTGTAGAGTCAAGTTGAATTTGTTCTTGGTCGATAGCTCATATGTATTGCCTTTATTTATAGGAATCTCCAAGTTTCAAGACAAAACATTTTATTTTTTAACTAGTAATTTTAATACCATAAACATATTGTTTCTCAACTAGTCATTTCTACAAGTTTGTAGATTTGTGTGGTTGCGCTTCTGTGCATCGGCGAAGCTAGGTATATGGGAGCAAGCTGTTTCAAATATCTCACTAGCGCAAATAAATGTTTCAATGGCGTTTTTGGTACACAAACTGTAGGCGCTTTGGCCATCTAACTCTATACAATTCGAGGTGATACTCGTATTATTGGAGGCGGTTGACAAACCGCGTGGGAAATTTACAACCTCAGTCTATTTGCACCTAAGTGATTGGGATTCTTAGGTGTAATGTTAGGACCTCGATAGCTGGCGGACGTTACCTGGGTGTGCAAGGGCGAGCGAATGATTCGTTAGCTGGGAGAAGCAGCCCCCAACGAACGTTTTGGTTTGCAGTAGAAAAAACCACAACACACATTTTTTGCTAGATAGGGCTTTTCGAGGCCTCCAGGTACATCATTTGATTTGTTTCGGGATGCAGCTCAATCGTCATTTCCTTTGTATATAAAACATAGAAAAAGTTAAAAAAAGTTTTTTCATGATGTAGGAAAAAAATAAAACAATATAAAAAATTGCCATCTTATACAAAAAAATTTATCCATGTTATAGAGCATAAAAATGCTGCCTATTTGGAATTCAAAATCATATGTACTAGAAAAGAGAGTTTTTCTTCTCTAGGAAACGTGGCAAAATTAGAAAAAGATTTGTACTAATAGCATGGCAAACATGAGAAAAATTGAATGGCTATTTTTAAAACAAAAGGTGAAGGTTTATTAACAAGTAAAAAATTAATTGTGTGGCGAAATTTAAAGAAAGATTGTACTCTAGAAACATGGCAAATTTGAGATGTATGTAAATAACACACGGCAAATTTACCATTGCAAATAAAGTGTTCAAATTGTCATGGTCCATTATTTGGCATCTAATTTTAAAAAATAACTAAAATTTCCATGTCTGGAAAGACATTTTTTATGAATTTGCCATAAGTGACATGAGACAAAAAAATATTTTTGCCATGCTACAGAAAAATAAGTCTCCCACATTATAATTAACAAAATTGCCACGGTCTAAGTAATAAATGTGTCATGCTACCTATTTTTATCTTTACATACCTAATATTAAAGGGAGGATTGTTTCTCCAATTTTTTTCGTTCACGGTGGGACCCACATAGTTTTCGTACGTCCCAGGCGTTTCCTCGTGCTCCTGATTCTGTCAAAAGAAAAAACACTGGACGCACAGAGCCACAATGGGCCGGCCCATCTGTCAAAAGAATTTCCAAGAAAAAGTCTACTGCGCGAGGAATCGAACCGAACCGCGGCATTTCCTATACGACGCCCGTTGCAACGGGCGCACACCCCGCCTCCTTCCATCGATGCTACATGGGCCAGCCCATTTAACGTTTTTTTTCTTCTTCTGTTAAATTCCAAAAAATGGTGCGGGCAACAAGATTCGAACACAAGACCACCCATTTCGTCAGCAAAGGCACTAACCACCAGGACTCCTTCACGCTTGCGACTAATATCTTCGTTTTTCTTCTTATGTTGTCCTCAGTTCGTGGAAGCTCGGTCTTTGGAAGCTACCAGCTCGCTTTTTTCGTTTTTGTTTTTTCTGGACAGCTTTTTGTGATGGTTTTTTATTTCATTGTTTGTTTTTTTAGTTTCTTTACAATTGTTTTTTCTTTTTCGAATGCATGGGCATTTTTTTTTCAAAAAGCGATGATCTTTTAAAACTTTTGTGAGGTTTTTTTTCAAATTTGAAGAACTTTTTGATTTTATGTGAATTTTTCAAAAATAAATGAACATTTTTCAAATTGATAAACTTTTTTCCAAAATCTATGAACCTTTTTCCATTTTTTGATGAACTTTTTTTGAATTCATGAACCCTTTTTGTAAATCCGTGAAATATTTTTCAAATCGATGAACTTTTTTTCAAAATCGATGAACGTTTTCCAACTTTATGAACATTTTTTTCAAAAAAAATTGAACTTTTCGAATTCGTGAACCCTTTTTTGAAAACCCGTGAACTATTTTTCAAATCGATGAACTTTTTTTTAATCTTGATGAACTTTTTTGATGATTGGTGAACTTTTTAAAATTTTCAAATTCCATAATTTCTTAAAATGTGAGTAATTATTGAGAAAATGAACAAAAAATTATATAGGACGAGCGATTTTCAAATATACACAAATCATTTTTTTGGTGTACGATGAACAATTTTTAAGTACACAGCGAACATTTTTGTGGTATACATTGAAATAATTTAAAACATATTTATACATTTTTTTATATAAGATGAACAAATTTTATACATTGAACATTTTTGTAATATAATCTGAACAATTTTTAACTACACATTGAACAATTTTGTGATATGCGCTGAAAAACCATTTAAATACCCATTGAAGATTTTTTGATGTACACTGAACAATTTAAAATTGTGAACAAAATTTGAAAAAGTGACTAAACTTAAAACTATGAACACATTTTGAAATCACGAACAAAAAAAAATACATTTTTCTAAATTCCACAAACTTTTTTCAAATTTGATGAAACTTTTCTAGATTTTGATGAATTTTTCTAGATTTCGACAAACTTTTTTCAAATTCTATGAACTTTTTTCAAATTTGATGAACCGGACGCTCGTTCTTATACTGTTGGCGCTTCAATAGTTCACTATAGTTAAGTTGTCCTTGTGGTTAGGCTCACTTGTATAGGAAGACTTGGTCTCTAGTTCGAATCCTGAGAGGCACACCTTTTTACTGCTTTTTCGTTAATTTACACTGGGCAGCGTTTAAATCCTGAGAGCGGTTAACCAGGCACGTCGGCCTTGTTGGGCCAGGCTCAGGTAGGCAGCGCGTGGGCGCCAGTACGCGTTAAGGGCGCTAAAGGCGCGGCTTAGGAGCTCCCCCGAACCGCTCATGCTAGAGCACTCAAATACTAACCACTAGACTAAAGAACACTAGGTGTTCAAATAGCACTACGAAGTTTTAAATTAAGTATACAGTCGCCCCAGATACTCAGAGGATTTTTTTCTTAAAGTAAAAATATTTTAGAACGCGAACATTTTGCTAAATTGTTAATAAAAAATTACAGCAGAAGATTTTTTAAAGAACAATATTTGTCTTTTTACTTTTTTTGAAACCTGAGTATTTTTTAAAACACAATTTTTTTAAAAAAATAGGAGGTACTGTTGTGATTATTTCTCGAATTTGCAAACATTTTAAAAACACAAATATTTTTTGAACTTCAAATTTGAAAAGGCAAACTTTTTTGTAAACATGTTTTTTTCTAAAACTGGGAGGTACTGTAGCTATTTTTTTTAAATCTATACCTATATTAATAAAACTTGGCAGATTTTTGAAATATGCCCATATGATACTTTGTTTTACTTCATTTTGTTAAACTAGGGATATGGAAGGAATATTTTTCTCTGTCGCGTCTTCGCGTACAACCAGTCTCACTCGGCCCAGTGACTCCTGTCAAAATGCATGAGGAGTCCAACTAGGAT